GAGGAGAGACAATAGCCGGCGTTGCCTCGGAGTAGCTGCAGCGGAGGAAGAAGCGTGAGCTGCTGCTGGTCCCTCCTTTTATGCTCTCGTGCTGTGATGAAAGGGGGGGCCCCGCCTCATTCTTCAATTCCGACATCGCGTCAAACAGAGGATTTCGACATTTTACATTCATTGCTTACATCCACACGCCTTTTCTCCTCCTTATCTCTTTCATAACTTTTCATTTAATACATTTTAACGGCTTCAATAGCCACTTTAATAATACTACTGGACGGTAGTCCCGGATGTCGTCATGAACGTTTTTCAGAATAAAAGCTTGGGATTAAGATTGTGCGCGAACTTCCGTTTTTTTCCAGAATAAAATGGCTTTTAAACTGACGGTATGTTTAAACTAAATTATGCCACAAAACATTGATTTTGATTTCTAACAGTTACCAGGCAACAGCTTGGGGTGAAAACAGTATTTCCGGTCTCGAAGTTTGCATAGTAATCTGCAGTACTAACATCAGTGTATCCTTGTTAAATACACAACATTGATTGGTTTAAATTGTGTACAATGCTTTTGTGTTTTCCCCCTTCGATTCGGAGAAACAAAGTTTTTTCACTGTTTAGGATGGCCGAAGACACTACACTACCCATAATCCTCAGCTATCGTTTGGGACTACAGTCCCTTTGCTTGACAAACCCCGTGATTAGTCCTCAAGCTCTGTGATTGGATGTTGGAGTGGCAGTGCGCCAAGGTTACGCCGAGCGTCAAACAGCTTTTTGAAATGGAATTAAACCACGGTAGACTATCCAAAACTGGACTCTAACGCCCCCCCAGAACTACACATGCTGGCTATTGTGTTTCGCAACATGTTCTCTATGGCACGTCTCTACTGGGAATTGTAGTTTTAAAAGACGTTTTCGTTTTTCCCAAAATTAGAAGTTGCCAGTATTAAACTGTGTACACACCTGGAGGTTTAGGGGATAAGAAACACATTGGTGTTATCAAATTTAAAACATATAATTAATAAATGGGTGAAAATTGCTTGTGTCCATAATGGGCATGTATATACCCACATGACAGCTCATTGTAACTTTGTAATTCTACTCCACTATAATTCAGAGGTTAACCTTAAAAAAACTGTCAAGATTAAAGTGTTAAAACATTTATACTTTGTATTATTAGTGTAGGACACTTATGTATGTATACCATCTGAAGATGTGTAGTTTTATTCATGTTTTCACATAATTTTACAGGATATTGCTATATTATTTCACATGTTTTACTTCTACACATGAATATCTGATTTGTAAAACATCACAGACAGAAAGGTATATCCGTCATTTAATGGTAAACTATTGACATTCTGATTCCATAGATGTGTCTCCCATCACCCAAAACCCCTGACTATTCTCTCAACTCAGTATTTACATTATTTAATTCAAAGAAAATCAGTAATATCTTTAAGAACTACAAGTCCCTGTCTATCAGCTGTGCACCGCTACCTATCTACCCATTGGATCAAATATAAAAGTCAGCCGAATTACCTTTGATACTGCAAGGAGACGTATTGTGTGAAGAGAAATTGAAGATGTTGTTTAATTGCTGATATATTTATGATCCACGTCACGTATTCAGTTTCAGTGGCATTTCTTCCAGTTTTTCCAAAGGTCTTCGAATCAGGGCTCTATAAATAGAGAACTACGGCAGATGTGTAATATTTAATGCAGCCGAACCGTGTATTACAATGCCGTTATGTGATGACTTTCAAAGAGAAAAGCAAGCACACTCGGATTAAAGCATTATTTTCTTTTTATAAATGTTTTCGGATTTCATATCGCATAAACACCATATCCCAATGTGCATTGTGGCTAAAACATCTTGAGGATCTTGGGTAATCAGTTCAGTCGGTGTGTATCGCCTATGTCTGTTTCCGGTGACTTTATTTTGAAATTCAGTTCCTGACGGGCGGCAAAAAAGCCAGAGATTATAGAATGAGACAAATAAATAAAAACAAGGATAATTGTGTGTTGAGTAAATAACAGTTTGTCATTTAGAAAAGAATAACAAATTAGAAGGAAAAAAATATTTCAAAATGACAGATTTCAGTATTCTGAGGCTCTGAGCCCCATTCATTTTCCTCATGGACGGCAAAAAAAGTCAGATATTATACGATTTAAAATCAAAACAATAATCGTGGCTTGATATTGAGTAAGAAAATGTTTTCGGTCTTCCAAGACCCGACCGGACAAAAAGACGAGGTGCAGGCACGAAACATACTACCAATAGAAATACATTGCTTTTAAAATCATTCTGTGTGACACGAAAAAAAAAGGGGAAAATCGTGTTGGTGAACACGAATCAATAGATTAAATGTCGTGACTATAACACGAAATGCCGTGAGACTGGGTTGAAATATCATGCTGTATATGTATTTTGAACTTACCACTTCATATAAATCCAGGGGAACATTGTAATGCAAATGTGTTTCCTTCAAACAGACCCAGGCTAGCTGTTAGCCTGTTTCCAGTCTTTGCGTTAGCTAAGCTACAGGCTGCAGATTGGCTAAATACATTTTTTTTCAAAGCTGTTAGCATGTGGCTACATCAGTGAGAGATGTTTGCCTAAATGGACAGAACACTGCGTATCAATCTGGAGAACATAGGAATGGCCTTACCTTTGTTTCTGTAGTATTAGCTAAGCTAAGGAGCTGCTGACTAGCTTGATGTTAAGCATGGAGACATGAGAGTTTGTATCAATTTCCTCAAGAAGAAAGCCAAAGTTACAACATGGAGAGCTTTTTGACTCATTTAACTATTTGATAAAATAACCTCCTATCCTCTAACATAAGAATGATGCCAATAAAACACGTTTCATGTTTCTTTCTGCTGTAAGTGTTATCTTAATGGCTCTCTTCCCTGGGAACCAATGTATTTGTTATAGTGTATAGGGCTCTGATAGTGAGGAGGAATGAGTCAGTATGAAGAGATAACAACCTAAAGATTTGTCATGTGGTTCTTATACAAACGGCTGTTTTATAAATGTAACTCTGAATGAGGACAGCCATAATCAGTCAAAGCCAGGCTCTTCTATTTTTTTTTATTATAAATCATTACTCCCTGATTATTGTAGCAGATAGTATCTACCCCTCCGGAGGAAGGCACTATGAATGGTCTGAACGTCCTTGGATTTTCATCAACTGAATTTGAATGATGGCTGGATAATAACGTTCCCTACAAGACGAGTCATCATCCTGATTGAGAAGTTTGGAGTAGCTTCTTTTTCTTCACATTCGCACACAGTCCATCCTGTTCTCCGTCTGTGTTCTGCATATTGAATGGATTCAGTAATGTGCCGTATTATCGCACCTGAAGTCAGAAATCACTGCGAGGCTCTGGCCTGAAGACGCACACGTTATCTTTTACCTCCAGGTAGCTGCTTCAGGTAGCACTTATTTGATGTTACCTTTTTATTAACCTTGAATCTCCTGCGTTGAACTCCTTGTGTTGTGACCCCGCTGTGGGCTAAAGGTAGAGATAGCCAACCCAGTAAACGATGTTGAACAGCAAGAAGGAGGTGGGAAAAAAGACACGTGAGTATGCGTCCAGTTCGAGTAGATCTATGTGGACGCGTCCTCTCCTCCACCCTCCTTCTTTACACTCCTCCAGGCAGCAGAAGAAGCTCTGGCAGTCTTTCCCGTCCAGACACTCGTAGACACAGGCGTCCTCGAAGTCCTGCCAGTACAGGGAGTTGTTTAACGCGATGACGGTGTGTGGCGGCCTCACATCCAGCACCGAGTAGTTCTGAGAAAAAGGGGAGACTTTCTCAGACTTGAAGAAGCTACTTCAGTTTGAATTAATGTTCCAAAAAAACAGATCACAGAATCCCACAATCCCCTCTGTTTCAGCCCGGGTTCAAAAGTGCTGATTCTCTGTCTGTTACATTAGATGAAAATAAGGAGCCCCTCCCCACGCCCCTCTGAGAGATATTTGGTTACAAAGAACTCAATGGTGCTCTAGGAGGAGATTCAGGTGATAAGGGGGGGGGGGGGGTTACCTTGGTTGGTGATTGGCTAATGGTTACACAAGACAAAACATCATAAAGTTACACTTTTATGTAGAAAACACATGAAAAAGTGGATTTTGCATAACAAGTGACCTTTAATGACTGAATGCACATTTTTCAAAAATAGTTTGTAATGTTGTAACCCGTTTATTTATTTTTTGCTATAATTGCTATGTTATATTTACGGAAAGACTTAATTAGGTGATCATTTTTGAAGAATTCCTTGCTAATACTGATACTCAGGGTCATGTCAGGATGGTTTACTTTACAGGATGATAGAAATGACATAACTCAGATAAGCGGTAGAAGATGGATGGATATAAACTAATAGTTTAACTACAACTTGAAGTAACTTGCCTGGTTATAAAATACCCACATGTTTGCAAGCGTTTTCTTTTGCCATTTTAATGTGTCATTAAATACTGACACTGAAACATGTTTGTGCCATAACAAAAATACATTATATTTTAGTTAAATTAAAAAATGTTACAGTGAGTTCTTTTATTTTTTGACTTATGTATGACCTGAAATGAACTTCATTTATTGTAATTTTTTAGCTGGCATATCTGTCATAATTTTAGGGTGCTTTGATCATATATTTGACTATTCCTTTGTCTTGTAAGGTAGTGTTAAACAAACTAGATTCATCCCATTATTAATAAAGCCTATAGTTAGAGTTAGTTACTACATTTGATGGTATTTTACTTTTTTTGCATTTTTACTGTATTTAATTTTATTCCATTTAATTTTTGCATCATATATTTATCTTGTAAGTTTTGCTTTTATAAGGTGATTCGTGTTTGTTGATCTGTAAGCCCACTGAGGTATGTGTTTTGTGACATTGGGCTATATAAAAAAATGTGATTTGAAGATAAATTGTTAGTTGCAATGCTTTAAAGTAGCTGCCATACCACTGTTAGTTGCATTCCAACAAAGCAAATTGAATTATGGGTCCTCCTCTATCATTTGATTTAAAGGCATATTTATCACGAATATTACATTCACCGTAAATAAACAAATAGCTAATTGTAGTCCAACTCACTGTTCTTCTAGGTTCCCTGCAGCGTGGTTTCTTAACGCTGTTCGAATAGTAATTCAGCGTCGCGTACTCCATCAGCGCGGCGAAGACGAACAGGAAGCAGACGGTGACGAAGAGGTCCATGGCGGTGATGTAGGAAACTCTGGGGAGGGACACCCTGGCCATGCTGCTGAGGGTGGTCATCGTCAGCACCGTGGTTATTCCTGCACAGGAGGAAACACTCTTCTTAAAAGGGGACCTATCATGCAAAATGCACTTTTTCATGTCTCTTCTACATCAACATGTGTCCCCTCTTCTTCATGTCTCTTCTACATCAACATGTGTCCCCTCTTCTTCATGTCTCTTCTACATCAACATGTGTCCCCTCTGTGGAAAGAGACTCTGAAAGTTTCAGGAACAAAGATTCTCTCTTTTTGTCCTGATCCATTTCTATAAAAACCTGTCTGAAAATGAGCTGAT